TAAATATTTCATAATTTGATCAAATCCTCCATAGAAGGGGAAAATAACTAAACCTAGAATCCTGCGAAATGTATCGAATGAAAAGATTGCACAAAATTATAGTTTTCAAAATACACGTCGAAACGCTATGTCAATATTTGCTTTTATTTGCATCCAGTACGTTGTACAATTGTACATTCGTCATGTAAAATCTAGATGAAAAGTTCAGTCTCGAGTTTAAAACTTTCTAAGTTTGGAAGACACAAAATAAAAGCACTTTTTAATACTTGAGCAATGTTGAACAGCAAACTTAAAGTGTACAGACACTGTCTCATAATCACTTCGAAAGTTCACGGGGAAAATCGCAAGCCTGTTCAATTTTCCTCTATTGAAACCCGATATTTATATTTTCGCCACGAGGTTTTTCTATATGGTTTCAAAGCTATTGAAAATTATCAGGTTAAATTGCTTTGATTATTAATAAAAAGGGAACGCAATGTGAGAAATTACATGCACAACATATAACGAAATTAATTTACGTTGATCTAGGCTTATTTCCAATAAACGGGAAAATGCTAGCTAATTTTATTTAACTACGTTTAAAAGCCCTTTTTAGTATATTCACGCAATGCTGACCATTTGTTAGAACTAAGCAGTGTTGCGTTAAATATTACATATACAATAAACCGCATTAGTCAAATAAATACGACTTTTACAAAATTAGCGTTTATTTGTTGTCGTTGATGTGAAAAATTAAATTGTTGTTTCATGTGGCGCGATCGTTTAAAAATGGGGATCACATATCAAAACCACATTTTCCGGAGCAAAACAGCGAAAGAACTATGCCAAGAAACTTGGCTTTGTTACTAACGTGCTTGTTTACAAGGAACACCATAAGAGATCACTTGAGAGGTTATTATGTGGAAATTGCTGGTCAATATACTTCACAAAAGATTCTTGGCTTCGCTTATCTATTGATCGCCAGTCCCTCAGCAATAACTCATTACTCTATGTTTCTCTGGCATGCCGCACTTGGCTTTATTTTGGTCTTGGTTAAAACGGTTTCCTGAACTACCCAATCAAGTCTTCAGACGCATCTTTTAATTCAATCTCCTTTTCCGAGTCGTGAGTTTTTCCAAAATATTGGCGATTTTTTTGTTGAAAAATGCTATGCGAGACACTTACCGCACGTGTAGACGACCTTCAAATAGGTCCGAGATTGAGGTTTGCAAGGACTTCCAAAGGAACCTACATCAGCTGCTAGGTCGCAGCTTCTTTTGCCATGGCAAAGCTGCATAACAGTTTCGGTGGCGTAGCTCGCCAAACAAGCTGCAAAATTAAAATCACCTTATTAACATAAGAGGATTACTACTTCAGGACCCTTTTGATCTCTTTTGGGTTAATGTTTTACCCTGCATAGTGAAGTTTTAGGTCTTTACGTCTGGGGCGTGGATTGCATTATTAATTTTCAAAAGGTTTCATACTGGAAAATGAGTATCTGTCGTCAGTGGTTGCACAAATACTATCCAGATTTCTAAATGCACAGGATGACAGTAAATTTTACGAGGTACGGAGCTTTTCAAGCAGGTAAATGTATGTACGTGAAATGATTCATGAATGTGAATTAAGGCGAAAAGTCGATGTCAAATTCACGTGTTGTCGATGAATCCAGAAAACTATATCCATTTTTAACGCAAATATATTTTGTATTGGTAAATAAATAGGCGGAAAGCTGTTTACTATCACGTTTGATAAATCACGTAAAATATTCCCCTGGGAAAATAAAATAACTGAATTTGACTTCTTTGTCGAAAGTTTATATATATATAAATAGTCTTTATTTTTATGAAAAAGGCTATCGACCCAACCCGACTTTCTGCCCTTGTATATGTATATGTTTATTTTGTACGAAATAAAAAACCAAAAAAATATCTTACTCTTGTTAGACAAAGGGAAATATGGTCCAATTGTGGGCTTGTTTTCCCATTTTGTTTGTAACTTTAAGAGTTTCTTTCTGATATCTTTGTCATGTATGGAAGGATTGTGCAGTGCGTTTTGCAGAAGTCTGAGTGCGATTTGTTTAGTGGCTTGTATGTGCCGTTTGCTCTTTTCCGTTGCATTTGAATATCAGACATTTAAGTGCAAGATTATGCCACAATTTCTCATTTCTAGGAATTAAAATGAGCACGAGCGCTCATTTTTACATCATCCCAGAGAGAACTAAATGGTCTTTTTATAAAGTGAAAAATCGATAAGAAAATGTTGGCAATTTTCTCAAAAAGTCTTGATTTCAAGAAGTTTCAGATTTGCGTGATTTTTTTTTTGAGTTGCAAAATTCACTTGAACCTGACGCTGCTTTTTTCGAAGTTTCTCAAGAACCATTCGAGCCACCGAATTCGTTTTGGCATCGTTGGATAGAGAATTGGAAAGTCGATTCAGTCGT